ATGTGAATGTGTAGTATGTAGATTTTGAATTATTCTTATATACAGTACCAACAAGTTTTGAGGCTATTCAGCACCACCCAAGCATGTTTATATCAAAACAGCTGCTTTTCCTATGCTAACTGCAATTACATTTGTTGTTTCTGTTGCAGCTGCAGCAATTGATATAATGCTTGCCTCATGGCCAGAAAACTGCTTCTCTTGACTTTTAAATCCTCTGGATTATTCCTGTGTTCTGTTCAATGCCCCACAGTATATTGTTGACTCTGAAGGCATGTTAATAGCACCAGCAGTAGTGTTGTTCAGACCTGATGCCCTGTTGAATTTTCAGGCAGTGGTTCTACAAGGATTCTGGTCCTCTTCACATTTTCTAAAATAATATGTCCCTTAATTGAGATAAATCAGTTACACCTCTGCACACTGTTGTATAACAGGGTATTGCTTCTCAGATAGCAGGAAATGATATTTATTAACAAGTTTATACTCTGCTGTATTGGGGTGGGGGGCATTGCAGAAAGAAGATGTAAATGTATATACAGTATAATTTATTCCGCTTTCTATTAATCATAGGAAATTGCGAGGAATAGTACAGTGAACTGAAACCATGTTCCCTGGTCATTTGCCACCCTCCCATTGGTTGGCGGCTATTGTTAATCATTCATTGCCTATGTGCTTTTTCATACATCCCATTTCTTGCTCGAAGAGCTCTTTGAAATGAACTCTGACCCTCTCTGGATCCTGAATTCTGCCCCCATCCGATTAAATTCCACGAAATGAAAGTAGTGCTAGATATAGTCAGATATAGATGAGAATGAGAACATCATAAATCTGGATTGCCAAGCTGACATTGTGAGAATGCCTAGGCCAGAGAGGGTGATATGTGGTCTTACAGGAATCCGTTGGGTGACAACTGCCATCATTGTTTACCATTTGCCATTTTGGCTGAGGCTGGTGGGAGCTGTAGTCCATAAACATCTGGAAGATTGCATAGTCCCAGTCCATTGTCTGGACAAGTTTGGCTAGAATACTGTTAACGCTGCTCTGTGCACATAAGTCTGATGATGTCATCAGCTATGGCTTTTTATATTTAATTAAACACTTTCTATTCTACCTCCCCCAGTCCCAAGGGTACTTAGAGATAATTTTTGATCCTGAGAAGCCGTGGCAGCTTTGGAAGGGTGAGGGGAGAGTTTGCTGTCTGTAAATTGCTGTTATGGACTAGTCCCTGCGGTGGCATTTTTTTCAGTCCACGAAGGCTTCCTTGAATGGTGCCATAATGACCCTATGGATCCTTTATTTTGTTATTGCCTTAAAATCTGGGTGCTTACTTGAGAATGTAGTGTATAGTAAGAGCATGACTTGGTTTGCAATCTATCAGTTTCTTGGTTTGTTTTATTAGATTTTAGAAGTCTTACAAAGTATTTGAACTCTTTTAGATTGTTTTAGTGTACTTTTACATTAATTGTACCTCACCTTGAGATGTATTGATATAAAGAAATATTTGAATAAATATCGACTTAACAAATCGAATTCATTCAGTGCATCAACCAAAATATATTAGTTTCAGAAGATAAAAATAATAAAAAACATTTTAAATAAATGCTGAATAGCTGAACGCAGAGAATTTGTGTTAAAATATATAGCTAAGTGCAGACAAATTCACAGAGGGATGTGTGTGTTTGTGTACACACACTAAAAGACAGGGATGACTCACCTCCGTATTGCAGAATTTCTGATAAAATCCTCCTCCCCCTCCTCCATTTGCTGTACAATAGACATACAGAGATCCACAGAGGAAAATAGCTACAAGTTCCCCATAGTCCACCCCTTTTTCATTAATTGGCACATAAAGTCCCAATAACTCACTTTGAGATATTTTGTAGGAGAATGCATAAAAATGTTTCTTTACTTATAGTTCCTTAAAAATACAGACTTGGTGATACTGCACACGTACTAGCAAGCAGCTGAATGGATCAACAGCAACAAACAACTGCCACCAACCGATGGAAGAGAGGCCAGGATCTCTTTGAATTTCAAAAGCTAGAAGGATTGAGTGGTTAGTGCTAGATAGATTGACAATCACCTCAGCCCAAAAAAGTTCCTCCCAGTCACTCAAACTACAGACAGCATGTGAGGTTGTAAATAAAACTCTCAACAGTAAATGTCATTCCCAAATATGATGTGGCAAAGTAAATGCATGACTAACTATGGGTGGCCTGGTTAGAAGAGAGAAAGAAAACAGGGGAAATGGCTAAGGAGATAAAAAAGAAAGTTTGCTATTGAGGACGGAGAAATTCAGATTTTGATGGAGTGGGATAGTAGAGGAGGAAAAAAATGAGGTGGAAATTTCTAATAAGCATATGTAACAACAGAAAGAGAAAACAGAAATTAGCATATTTTACTTTACCTTAATAGAGTTGTCTTGTAGGCTTTTTTGTCCCTTCAAGATGAAAAAAGGAGGATAGAAAAGTGAGGTGGAGAATGTCTCTCTTGAGTGCTGATTGAGGGTCCTTCTAGACAGAAGAGATTATGAAATTCAGAGGGGTTTCCCCCATCTTTTCAGGATTAGTCATAACATTTTTGAAAAGCTCAGTGAACAAGGTAGCACAAATAATTTGTGAAAGGCATTTTAAGTGCCAGGCATAAAGATGAAGATGAATGAAAATAGCTGTTCTTCCTTCTCCTTGGTGTAACAGGGATGTGTGTTTGACGGTGGGTAGAACTGACTGCAAACCATCTAAGGGTCTATGAATCACACTATGTGCATCTGCCTTTATGAAGAGTCACAGCCTGGAGCCCTCTAGATATAGAATTTGGGTAGCAACCTCACCCCTCCTGTCTACATCACATGTGTTAAAAGGTGGTCCCCCAATTAAAAATTAGAGTGACACAATGGCCACACATAGTGCACTTACCTCAGAGAGAGTTGACTAATTCTTGTAATTATTTGTGGTTATATTTTGTTTAGCAGCTAGTATTTATTTTAAATTATAATGTGTGAGTGTGCGCTTGCAGACACACATGCATGCATACACACACGACAGAAGGAGAGAGAGAGAGATTGCTTTTGGTTTATTTTGTTCTCTACTGAAGTTTTTACTTTTTGCCCTCAGGCCCCAAATAATATTCTTACGTCAACTTATTAATAGACTTATTATGAACAAAAATGAAAACCCGAAATAATTTTATATTTAGCAGCACTGGCAGTGAATTATAGGAATTATCTGATAATTTATGGGGCAGTTGTTTTGATCTGTTTTCACTTTTTTGTCTTTTTTTCTTTTCTTTGATCGAATGCCAATTTGTTGGTGGTGGTCTGATTGTAATTCATGAATATGGCTACACTGTACAGAGACATTTTTTAAAAAGCCATAATTTGAACAACATTAAAAGGTCATTGTTAGAAACATCAAATATGGATTAGTAATAGCAGTACTTTCATTGCTGTTGCAATTAAGTGTTCTATGTATAGTATTGAAGAACAAATTGTTTAAATAGATGTAGATATAATAATCATTGCACCTGTATATATATAACATAATGAAAAGATTAAGTGATATAAAGAAAAAATGAAAGGGGTTCTTCCCCATCTCCCCTGGAAGGTGTGTATGTATACTGACAACACTGGCCAGATCCCATGCAGATTTCATGGCTAACAGAAGATTTCTATGTTTACTTTAAACAAAGGGGCTCATCCTGTTGACAAAAGACAGTCAGATCTCTTTGTCTTGTGCACTTTTTTCAAGCTTAGAAAAGGTGTAAAAATAGTTAAGGTTAAGCAAAGGGGACTTTTTCTTGATTGTGTCTCTCTGTTCCAGTGGTTCTTGCCTTCTCATGATTATGTACCAAGTACCATAACCTTGGCTTAATCATTTATAAAAGCAATGGCTCGCCAGTAAAGGTGCAAAGTCAGGGACGCAGATTTGGTTTTAAGGTATTTGTGACCAACATTGCCCTAGTGCAGTACCGAGTAAGAGGTGGGCCAAGGGTCTCATGCAGCCTTCAGGGACATTTTTGCACATCCACCCACAACCCAGCATGCTGACTTTGCCCGGCTCCTGCAACCCACTAAAGAGTTTAAAAAAAAAAAAACTTTTGAAAAACATTTGCCCAGAAAGGCTGATTGTGCCTTCTAACAAATGTGAGGGACAATTATACTAAGTTCTGAGGGGGCTCACATACCTTTTGAAAAGAATTTTTTTAAAAAAAATACCACTAGAGGATGCAAAGGGGCATTTCCAACCTTTTTTTTTTGTAAACATTTTTAAAATGTCATACCTGATTCTCATTAACAAAAACAAACAAATTATATGGAGCTTCAAGTGTTTGAAATTAATATATGCACTACAAGTGTTTGAAATTAATATATGCATATTAGCTTCTTATACCCTTTTCCTTTTGCCTCACTCATCGGAGGGATACTCCTTGGAAAAATTGAAATACGTATGTCTCTGGATTCTCCTGAGATGGCTCTCCCTTAATAAAATGTGTATCTTTGCTCTTTTCCAGGAACACAATTGAGTCCCATTTCCAGATTTGAGGCAGCCTTCTTTAAGATTGAGTGGAGCTGATAATCTAGAGACTGTGCAATTTTCAAAAATTCAAACAAACACACCCCTGAACTGGAAGTCTGTGTGTGTATGTGTTAAACACTGCAATAGACCCCTCTCACTGATTTAAAAACTGAATTATTGTTCCTGGCGGCTTTCAGGAGTGGCATTGCTGGGTTTTGGTGGGGAAGACCATTCTTTTGTGATAGGGCATCGAGTCTGGTGGGATGCATGGCTGCAAACATAGCTGGCGGTAGAGTCAACAGTTGTGACAGCTCAAAACATTCTCCAAAGATCAGTATATGTAAACAGTGCTACTCAATGGACTGAAGAAAAGGGCTTCCTTTTCCTTTTTATGCATTGAAATATGAGGCATGAACCAAACAAACTTCTTAATTATCTTTAACTTCCAAGTGCTCTAAGTGGGATCTTGCCTTGCTTACTGTGTTCCAGTTACCTCTTATATGCTTGACCAAGGGGATGGATGGGCGGGCAGAGATGGAAGTGATAAGAAGCACAAAAGGGAACGTGACAGGAGAAGTCAGTGTCCATTTGGTGGCCAGTGAGAGTGCTGTGCAGAATGCCCACCTACCAGCAACTGCCTTCATCATACCAGGTAGGTATCACATCCACACCCACACCCAAAAAGGGATACAGCATTACAGTGCGGGCAGGGCTGGACCACTGAATCCTTGTACCTAGCTGTCATTCAGAGTCTCCTTCTGTTCCTTCTTCCATTTCATTCCCAAAAGAAAAACAGGTAATGTAGGGAGCAAATGTCCCACTAGGTTTTGTTCCTTTTGCGGGTTGATCATGCTTACGGAAACAATTGTTCAGAGTTTCCCTCTTTTACTGCAGCATGGTTGACTAGAAATGTAAATCCTCCAAAACGCACAGTAATCCAGAAACCTAGACATAACCCTGAAACTAAAAGTTAGTGAGCAAAACAGGAAAAAAGTGTCTTACTGGTCATAGGAGCAGGAAAGGTACAGTCAAATACAATACAGTGGTGCCTCGCTTAGCGATGTTAATCCGTGCAGCAAAAATCGATGCTAAGCAATATTAAAAAGCCCATAGAAACCCATTAAAACCTGATTAATCTGTTCCTATGGGCTAAAAACTAACCCTAAAGTGAAGATCCTCCATAGGGGCGGCCATTTTCGGTGCCTCTAAAGCGAGGCAATATCATTACAGCAGGCGGCCGTTGTGTTTTTCCCGCTGCCATTTTGAAGCCACCGATCAGCTGTGCGAAAACGGGTGCTTTGCGCTGATCGCTTCCCCGCGATCATCGCAAAGCGAATTTTCCCCATAGGGACCATCACTAAGCGATCACTTTTGCGATGGCAAAAAGTCCATTGCTAAGCGATTTCATCGCTCAACGGAGCGATTGCTAAGCAAGGCACCACTGTAATGATATTGGTAAACATACCTGGATGTGGCAGTCTAATCTGATGTAGTTCAAGACTTGCATTTGCTCAGTATCAAGTGAGGAAAGGAGGAAAGAATAAAATTTCTCTTACACATCCTGATTGCAGCCAGTTAAGACTACAGCAAGCAAGAAGAGGTTGTAAGCTATATTCTATGTATGACATCTCTTGCCTGGGACAACCTTCCAGAAATGATCCATTTGAATAATGACAGGGCAAAGTGAGGAAGGGAGTGGGAAGCTTTGCCAAGCTACCTGTTACTCTCTTGACCTTATCTTGCAAGCCCGAGTACCAAAGGGTTTGGAAACACTCGTCATTCTCATTCTCTTCTGACACCCATCCCTACCTGCACTGTCATGCTGTGCCCTTTTTTGGGGGGGCGGGTGAAATTTGATTCATTTAGCTATGAGATACATTTTGCACCCACATGCCTATTGATAAGCTTGTGATATACTGTACTCGGATTTCTTTTGCTCTTTCCAAGCAAACACAGCCACAGTAAACCTGCCAGCAAGCACCTTAGAAATTCAGCGGTTCGCTCGGGACCCCCAGAAAAATATGGGGGCAGAGAGGCAAAGAGAGGGCACAGCAAATGAGCCTATTACAGCAACAGTCATCCCACAGATCAGTGGAGTACAGACCTGCAACACCATTCGGGTCTTGGAATGGAAAGATGGGGTAGCCACTCTCCCTGGAAGCAACCTAAGGGTAGGTATTTTTCTCAAACCCAAGTGCAGCAACAGTGTCCGGTTGGTAGGTAGCGCCACACGTTTCCTAGGGCTAAACACAATGGCTTGCATAGTGAGAGGATTTGAGAGGTAGATCTGACCACCCATGAGAACAGCGTTAACGTAGGACTAGATAAGACTATCCATGATGGTGTTACCTAGTCACGCCGGCCACGTGACTACGGAAACTGTCTTCGGACAAGCGCTGGCTCTATGGTTTGAAAACAGGATGAGCAGCGCCCCCTAGAGTCGGACACGACTGGACTAAGAATGTCAAGGGGAACCTTCACCTTTACTATCCATGACTGCTGTTCATGGTTGCTGTATATCTCCCTGTCAGAGCCCCCCCACACACACACACCCATGCAGCACAAGGTCAGCTGGCGGGGCCTCCTCAGCCATTGCTGTATATCTCCCTGTCAGAGCCCCCCACACACACCCATGTAGCACAAGGTCAGCTGGCAGGGCCTCCTCAGCCACTCTCTACATGAACCTGAGTGTCCCAGAGCTGCTTGAACTTCGGAATGGAGTACAAAGAAAGAAGGGATGCCAGTCTCTCCTCCTCCTGAAAGTCGGTTGTGGGGGCTAACTCCCCTGACAATTCAGTCTCTGCCTGACCCTGAGTTGCTATCACTGAGTTTGGCTGGTGGTGTTGGGCCTTTAACATAATCCTGAGCCATCCAGTGCCTCTCAAAGATGGCTTGTACTGTTGGCTGCTAGTCAATGCCTATGTTTCTCTGGCCCATCCTGAAGGTGGTGCTGCCACTCATCTCGTATACCTCCAGGACCTTCTTTGGCTGGGAGTGGGGGGCCGGGCCATGCAGGACACTGAGGTCTACAGGCTGGTGAAACAAGAAGGTGACAGTGGATGTTCCTCCGCATGCGGTCTTCAGTTGACCACAAAGAACTCTACCAGGACCCCAGTCCAGAGGTTCCTTATATACATGTAGTCCACTTCTCCTGATGTGCAAAATATGGGATCTAGGTCTTCAGCTGCCTCATCCCATGTCTCTTTCTCTTCCGACTGGGTTGTCTGCATTGACCCTCCTTTATTCTTGCCATCTGCCAACTAGTCTTGGCCCCCACCACCTCACATAGGCCCTGTCTCCTGCCACCTCCTCATCTCCACCTGGGACTTGCCATCTTGCATCAGTGCTTACCTGGGGCCCTGGGGGGTTGCAACTTCCAAGAATCCCTCCATGAGGCATGGGGCAAAGGCAGGAGAGCTGCTAGAAGCACCAATAGCAACCCCATCACACTCCCCCACAATCAAAAGCAATACATTTCTTAATACTCACTCAATTCCTTTGTGTATTGATGCAGTTTCGGATAAACGAATTTGGGACATTGAAAGTGGTCAGTGCTGACAAGCTTTTGCCTGCAGAGCCTCTAAATAGTTGCCACTCAGAAAGAGATGGGGATGATGGGGTGGCACTCATCAGCAAGGACAATCCCACCGTAGCTCAAGGTGAGTGTATCTTCTTGGCAAACACTCAGAATTTTGGAAGCCACTGCTTAAGCATGGTGAGACTAAGCAGTGATGTTGCTTGTTCTTGATGCCTCTGTAGTCTCCTAGGTGTAATGATTTACAGAAAAATAATATGACATAAATACCTTGAAAATCCTTGCTGTCATCAGTGTGGGAAAGTCTATCAATGGATCTAGAACCCAACTGTTTTTCGTTTCATTATTGTGTTCATCGTTTCTGTGCCAGTTTGTCACATGGTGGCCCACCATCTGGCGATGAGTCTCACTGTACTAAGTTATGCTGAAAATGCAGAAAATGCAGGCTGCTACTGCCATACTGGATATCTTGTCAGTTTTATAGAAACTATTAAAGCCAACAATGGGCTGTTATACATTGCCTTAGCAAAGCCAGAGTCAGCTCCATGCCACAGTGGCACAGCAGAGCAGAGAACGTATAGTTAGAAATGTGGATAGTCATAAATACAAAGCCTTCTCAGAAGCTCTCTGCACGAAACTGTGATGTTCTGCAGCGCTGTGTGTGTTGTTGTGTAGCAGAAAATTATTTACTTCCTGTCCCTGTGTTGCTCTGCTTTCATAATGGTTCTAAAAGCACTGTCTTAAGCAGAAATGAGTATTCTATGATTGATACTGATGTAGACAGACTAAAGTAGGCCTTATTAGTGGGTACCTGGAATATACTTCATGCTTCTGGTGAACTGCACAGATCACCATTTTTCCACCTCACAAGCTGGGCTGATTCAGGAAAGAGTTCCTGTGACTGTTTACTTGCGGCAACTCTTTGTCCATTGCTTCTCTTCTGGTTTCTTAGACTCAGACATTCCAGAGCTCCCAAAGCTTCCAGCTGTGGACAGCCTGTGCCATTGCAGTACCTGTGGACGGAGAAATGTTTCAGGGTCAGGCCAAGAAGGCAGGGGGTTTTGCAGTGAGAACTGCCACCGACAGTTCAAAGAAAGGTAAGCAAAAGAAAAAGATGTTCTCACTGAGTTGTTACAAGGAGGTGGAAACTGGGTGGGAAAAAGAATAATAAACTTTCCTACGTCTTTTTCTTATGTCTGGTCAGAGATATTCAGGTCAATGCTCTCCAGATGTATTGGACTCCAACCTCCTTAAGCCCAAGACAGATAAATGGAGGTGGAGTTTAAACCAGCTGGATAGCATTAAGTTCTTTACTCAGAATGATGTTTCCTCTGTATTTTCATTTTCATCTATGGAGAGAAGGAAATACAATTGAGTTCTTGAATTTGGAACTCCCTTTGACAAGGTGTACGTACAGTAAGATGGCAGAATCTGAAGGATCAGTACCCACGGTTTCTCTTATCCACTGATTGAAAATACTAAAGAGCACCCCCCAGAAATGCATGTTTCTAAGACTGATTGATTGATTGATTGATTGATTGATTGATTCCATTTATACCCCGCCTATCTGGTCATTGCGACCACACCAGAACCAGGCACTAGAGGGAACCAGAGACTATATCTTATATTGTTGTTGTTTAGTCGTAATGTCCGACTCTTCCTGATCCCATGGATCAGAACACGCCAGGCCCTCCTGTCTTCCACGGCCTCCTGGAGTTGGGTCAAATTCATGTTGGTAGTTTCAATGACACTGTCCAACCATCTCGTCCTCTGTCCTCCCCTTCCCCTCTTGCCGTCACACTTTCCCAGCATCAGGGTCTTTTCCAGGGAGTCTACTCTTCTTATGAGATGCCCAAAGTCTTGGAGCCTCAGCTTCAGGATCTGTCCTTCCAATGAACACTCGGGGTTGATTTCCTTCAAAATGGATAGGTTTCTTCTCTTTGCAGTCCAGAGGACTCTTGAGTCTCCTCCAGCACCACAATTCAAAAGCATCAGTTCTTTGGCAGTCAGCCTTCTTTATGGTCCAGCTCTCACTTCCATACATCGCTACTGGAAAAACCATTGCTTTGACTATGCAGACCTTTGTCGGCAAGGTGATGTGTCTGCTTTTTAAGATCCTGACGAGGATTGTCATCGCTTTCCTCCCAAGAAGCAGGCATCTTTTAATTTCGTGGCTGCTGTCACCATCTACAGTGATCATGGAGCCCAAGAAAGCAAAATCTTTCATTCTCTCCATATCTTCCCCTTCTATTTGCCAGGAGGTGATGGGACCAGTGACCATGATCTTAGTTTTTTGTTTTGGTTTGTTTTGTTTTTTGGATGTTGAGCTTCAGACCATTTTTGCGCTCTCCTCTTTCACCCTCTTTAAGAGGTTCTTTAATTCCTCCTCACTTTCTGCCATCATAGTGGTATCATCTGCATATCGGAGGTTGTTGATATTTCTTCTGGCAATCTTAATTCCATTTTGGGATTCCGCCAGTCCAGCCTTTTGCATGATGTATTCTGCATATAAGTTAAATAAGCCAGGGGTCAATATACAGCCTTGTCATACTCCTTTCCCAATTTTGAACCAATCAATTGTTCCGTATCCAGTTCTAACTGTTGCTTCCTGTCCCACATATAGATTTCTCAGGAAGTAGATGAGGTGGTAAGGCACTCTCATTTCTTTAAGGACTTGCCATAGTTTGCTGTGGTCCACACAGTCAAAGGCTTTTATATAGAATGTTTCTATACTAGTGCTTTTTGGCATCTGTGGTGGGGGAAGCCTTGGCAATAATTTCTTGTGGAAACTGCAGTCCCATAAATGTGAAATGAGCTCAAAGAAGGGAGATGTCACATCCCTCTGAGCATTATTGGCTTAACAGGTAGGATTAAAGCAAAAAAATACAACTCAGTGAAAAAAATTGCTAAGGACATAGTTACAGGGCACATCCAGGATGGCGGCCTATGCATTCTTTTTCTCTGTAGTTGTTTCAAGGAGGAGGAGAGAGTAAAGAACTTTAAGTACAGAATTTGTGTCAGACTTGTGAAATTACAATTTTGGGGACCTTTTGGAAGTAACCACAAAGGGTACTGTGCTGGTGTAGCTGCTGTAACCTTGTAGTGAGGATGTGCTTTATCTCTAGAGCATGTCGGAATGGTTGCAAACAGAATTTGGGTGTGTGTGTAAAAAAACTAGCCTATTAGATCCATTTGTTATTTTCTCTGCTTGGAGAAGTTACTGTTTTGGATTACTGGAGGATAGAAAATATCCTTTTGTGGGGCGGGGGGCGGCCAATAGGTGGCAGGAGAAAATAAAAGAACTACCTATCCTACCCAGGGAATTCTGGGAGCTACAGCCCCCCCCCAAAAAAAAGGGGGGGAAAGCTTTTAGTGTTAAGGAGGAAGCTGTTCCCACTGCTTGAAAAAAAAGAACTGTCTCGGGATGTGTTTACAGATCTGTCATTGTGGAGAACTCTGCTGGCAGCACCACCTCCACTGAAATGCTCAAGCCAGTAAAGAAGCGGAAGAGAAAAGATTATCAAAGCCCTTCTGAGGAGGAAGAGGAGGATTCTGAGCAAATGGTATAGCTGGGATGTTTTCTCCTATCTGCAAAATTGCATGCTATAATAACATTGTTTTCATTGTTTTCCCTCATTTGATTGTCTTGAATCAGAGATAGCAACTCCAGGAAGCAGCCTTGGGTAGTGCATGCCACAGAGCAAGGTACCACAATTCTCACTACCACAGGTTTGAGTGTTGCCAGAATCCTTGCAGTTGTGCCGGGATTTTGAAGAAAGTTCCAGCGGAGCCACTGGCAACAGCAGGTTTAATGACAGTGAGAGGACGAGACCTGCAGTAGGAACAAAACAACATGGAGAGGCTTCATGAATGGAAGGAAATGTCCCATCCAGAATGTCCAGTAGATATATGGAGGGGATGCAACAAGAAGGACAGGACTTGGGTGCCTCCCCTCTGAATTTTCTCTACAGGTTTTGAAAGCCTAAAGAGACTTTAGTAACTTGAAGACTCTGTGACCTAAGCAATTATTTAACTAGGAACACTTTACTGACCATTTTGCTGTGTAATTAACAATTATTTAGGTCTGCATCATTTGTAGATATCTTGATCATGTTTATTTATAGTTGCACTTGTTAGTTATTTGGTTATTTTTGCATTTTAACATTTCTAAAATAAAGAAATAATGACTGAAATCCTGTTGCTTTCCTATGCAGGCAGAAACCAAAAGGCATGGTGTTCACACATTCGTAACTGGCAGTTAATAAGCCATGGCTTCAATTCTTGAGGCTGGCTTGGCATGCCTTGAGAATCACCAGCAGGGACTTGTTAATTACCAACTACAGTGGTGCCTCGCTTAAGGAGTGCTTCATTTAACGACGAATTCACTTAGCGATGACTTTTTCGGAGCGATCTTGCGCTCCGTTTAACGATGTTCCTATGGGCGATTTTCGCATAGCGATGTTTCGGACCATGCTTCGCATAGCGATGACAGTTTGGGTCCCCCTGTTTCGCTTAACGATGGTTTTGACAGCCTCGTGTTGGCTGTTTTTTATATGTTTAAAAATATTTTAAAAATGTTTAGAATGCTTGAAATCATAAGTGCACTTAATAAACCCTTTGTTAAACTAATTTGACTTTGTTCCAACTCTTTTTAAATTTGTTGTAATTTTTCCCCCCATTGAGATGCATTGAATAGGTTTCAATGCATTTCAATTGGGCAACCGCGTTTCACTTAGCGATGTTTCCTATGACGATTTTTGCTTAGGGACAGCAATCCGTTCCCATTTGAACGGATTATCCGGTTTTGAATGCATTTCTATGGGAAACCATGTTTCGCTTTGAACGGATTATCCGGTTTTGAATGCATTTCTATGGGAAACCGTGTTTCGCTTAGCGATGTTTTCCCATAGCGATGCATTTTTTGGAACCAATTAAAATCGTTAAGCGAAGTACCACTGTAGGAGCAAGTGTATGTTAATACCTTTTTCCTGTGTAACAAAGCAACAGCGTTTCCGTCATTATTTGTGTTCATTACAATACAGCATTATTGCCAGCCTGCGTCTCCTTACCCAGCACTGAAAAGTACACATTAATGAACGTAACAGTTCTAGGTTTTATCTAAAAATTAGTTGTGAAGCTATATCTATAAGCAGGATAGGTCAAAGGACCAATTGGTGCTGTTTCAAATTATCCAGAGGAAGGAGCCATTCCCATTTCGAGGAGTTTGGAGAAACAATTCTAGGTTCTTTAGACCAGGGGCCTCCAACCTCTGGTCCACGGCCCAGTGCCAGTCCATGGAGGATTGGGCTGTGGAGATGGATCTTCACCTCCCGACCTGCATGCACAGTAGGCGTGTCGCGCTTGCGCAGGGGGTGTCATACTTGCAGGGGTTGTTGCATTTTCAGGGTGTGTGTCATGCTTGCAGGAGGGTTGCACGCATGTGCATGGTGCAGCATGCCCACCCACGAGAGCAGCACACCCACCTGCGAGCACGGCATGCCCACCCGCGAGCACGGGGGTGCCCCTGCCCCCTGTGCATGGAACCTGCCCCCCCAAATAGGTCCGTGGTTTCAAAAAGGTTGGGGACTGCTGCTTTAGACAGGCCAAATAAAATGATGTGCTGAAGATACATAATTGGGATTCTCTCCCCAGTCCATATGATACCAGAGGTATGGAATACTTGGGTTTCAGAAGAGCAGTAGTTCATGGAAAAAGGAGAAGAAAAGGAAAAAACAGAGGGGAAAGGGCAAGATTCATTTCACTGTGATCTTCTGTGGATAAAAATCCACTTCTTGCACCACGTTGGCCAGAATCTTGTTGTTAAGTGTAGTAAATTGTATTAGAGGCACCCCATTGAATCAATCATGATTTGGTGAGTCAACTCCTCAGTAAGTTCCATCGATTCATATGGGCTTCCTATAACATAGTAAGTTGCAGTTAGAGTAGGCCTACTTGAATTTATGGAGGAGTTAACTGACTAAATCTCCATAGATTTAATAGGCCAAAACTAGCATGATTTACTATGCAAAGGAACAAGATTTTGGCCTGTTTTGGTGCTATTGTTTTGGAGACTAGCTGAACTTTAGGACTAGTTGCCTTTATTTCCTCCGTAGCTTTTAACCAAATAGTTTAAAATAAATATAGTACAAAACCAGCACAAACTTTCAGTTGTTTCATCACAGAGAAACTGACCTCATAAAAGCTGCCTTCCATCTTCCTAGTCAGACAACTAGGAGAGCAAGAAACAAGAGCTTGACTAATTTTACAATAAAAAAATTGTTTTTATCTTTTTGGCAAAGGATGTGAAGCAGGAGGAGATAAATGGCTCTGGAGGAGAACTTCCCTCTAGCAACACTCAAAGTGAAGACTGGAATACAAGTCAACTTAGTAAGTACTGTATGATGGCTCTGTTGCTTCAGCCTTCAAAGTGGTCCCTTTATTTCTCTAACTTCTTGCCCATTTATAGTGTGGTGTGCCTTACAGTGGTGCCTCGCTTAATGACGATAATCCATTCCAGGAGAATTGCTGTAAAGTGAAAACATCGTAAAGTGAAATTAAAAACCCCATTGAAACCTGTTCAGTGCGTTCCAGTGGGGTAAAAACTCACCGTCCAGCGAAGATCCTCCACACGGCGGCCATTTTTGCTGCCTGTATAGCGAGGAATCCGTCCCTAAGCACACCGGGGAGCCATTTAAGCACCTGGTGGCCATTTTGAAAACCCGACGATCAGCTGTTTTTGATCATCGTAAAGCGAAAATCGGTTCCCGAAGCAGGGAACCGATCATCGCTAAGCGAAATTCCCCCATTTAGGCGATCATTTTGCGATCGCAAAAAGATCGTCATAAAGCGGATTTATCGTAATGCAGTGCAATCGTTAAGCGAGGCACCACTGTATTTTGATTTGCTGTCTGGTAGATGTGAAGTGTAGCTGGAGTGATCTGAGCATGAAAGTTCTTGTTTTCGTTCTTCAGGATTTTTCCAGATCAGCTGCATAGTCTAATGATTCAGTTGCAGTGTGTTCAGGAATGGTTGGTAGAATTCTTTGGAAGTAATGAAACACAAAGGACTGGCTGGATAGCTCAGTGAGTTAGGAGTCTGACTGTGGAGCCAGAGGATGAGAGTACAATCCTCCACTGTGCCTCCAGGGAGAACAGCCAGCTTGTGTGACCTTGGGCAAGCTGCACAGTCCCAGGATGCTCTCAGATGAAGGGAATGGTAAACCACTTCTGTGTATTCTGTACCAAGTAAACCCTGAAAATTGTTGCCATAAGTCAGAATTGACTTGATGGCACAACATTATTATTATTATTATTATTATTATTATTATTATTATTATTATTATTATTATTATTATTATTATTATTATTATTATTATTATTATTATTATTATTATTATTATTGAAACACAGGAGAGCATGCACAGAGTAGCCTTTTCTAGTTAAACTTTTCAACCTAAGCATCTGTCTGTAGAACTGGGATGTTCTACGGCAGTGGTATATTCATATGGGATTGCCAGTCATTAATGTATGAATGGAGAAAGCAGACCTTTACCCACCAATTAAATGGGGGTCGTTTATGGATGATCATGCGAAAGGCTGGACTGGATGAATTATGGTAAGATTGCCGGAAGAAATATCAACTACCTCAGATAGGCAGATGATGCCACTCTGATGGCAGAAAGTGAGGAGGAATTAAAGAGAACCTCTTAATGAGGGTGAAAGAGGAAAGTGCCAAAAATGGTCTGAAGCTACAACATAAAAAAAACTAAGATCATGGCCACTGGTCCCATCACCTCATGGCAAATAGATGGAGAAGATATGGAGGCAGTGACAGATTTTACTTTCTTGGGCTCCATGATCACTACAGATGGTGACAAGCAAAAGGCTGAGAGAAAGGCTAAGAAACTGGTAGTCTAGAAGTTTTTGAACTGCATCTCCTATGATGTTTCAGCATTAGCTCTGCTGGCTAGGACCAATGGAATGTTGTAATCCAAATAAAAATAAAATTAAAATTCCAGGAGGGTCACAGTTGCCCAGCCCTGTAGTTTCTGACTGCATTTCCATGGTTCCTGGAATAAATACAAGGCTCGACGGATATAGCAGAATCCCAGCTCCATCAGCAGAGGTGGAGACTTCCTCTTGAAATCTCATCTATGCAGTGGCACATTGTTCTTCCTCTCCCACCAGAACTCTGATAGCCAAAATATGTGCTGGGGATCGAATGGGACAAGGTTTGAATCTTGCAGATGTAGAAGTCTTCCTGTTCTGCCATCCCTGTCAGAAGGTGGGTGGAGTTATAATAGGAGGGGAGATTCCAAAAGAAAAATAATCAGCCCTCAAACCCAACCTTCCAGAGCAACACAACACACCTTTTCAGCACTGCTGATAGGAGCTTGGTAGGGCAGAAGAAGAATGGGTTACTTCACTAAATCTCCCTTCCCCATTTCTATTGGATTGTTCTGCCCATTGTTTTCGTTAAAATTAAACATTGCGGAAGGTTGGGGACATTCAGCTCATCATCTTTCTCCTTTACAAGCTTGGGGAAGAGGGAAGAGTGTAACATGCACATACTATAAGAAATGCTTTCCCTATACATTCTGTATGAAAAGCAAACCATTCATGACTACCAAGGCTTTGGCCAGTTGTCTCCACCTCCCAGATGATCTATGGTCAGCTCAGGTGCAAGTGCAGGAGATAAAGAAGAACAGGATGCATTGGAGAAGCTTGGATTATTATAGCTCATGGTTTAGGTCACTGGTTCTTAACCTTGGGTTACTCAGGAGTTTTGGACTGCAACTCCCAGAAGCCTTCACCACCAACTATGCCGGCTGGGGTTTCTGGGAGTTGCAGTTCAAAAACATCCGAGTAACAAAGGTTAAGAACCCCTGGTTTAGGTAGCTGCCGGCAGAGCCAGAAGTTCAGAGTTTGATTCCGTGGTGTGCCTGCTTGACAGAGGCTGGACTCAATGAACCATAGGGTCCCTTCCAGTTTTGCAGTTCTAAGATGATGATGATGATGATATACTTAATTACTGTATCTTCAAGACATATAAGTAGTTACAGATGGTAAATGAAAACAAAAAGGGAAGAGAAGGGGAATTGGTCTCTTTTCTTGTTTTTCTATAAATTGTCCAAAATTTTGTAAATATTTTATGCCAATACAACTATTAATTATTTCAATTTGTTCTGTATTCTGCTTTTCTTAGTTTCTGGCGAGGAAAAGACAGAAGGTTGGAGCTGGTCATCTTACCTAGATGAGCAGAAAGCCGTTGCTGCCCCTTTAAATCTGTTCCAGGAGGTGAGTTATAGTGTTCCTGTGTGTGGAATCTGAAGGCATATCTCTACTACACAAGAAATAAAATTATTATTCTTCCTTGTTGAATCTGAGGATTTGTAGTGCCACAAAGCTGATTAGAGATTTTTTCTCAGTGAGAATCTACAGCACCAGTACCATCTAAAATTTCTAGGATGTTCTGGGAGAAGCCAAGGTGCTGCTAAAACTATGCAAAATCAATGAACATTTGCAGTGTAGGTGTGTCTAAAAGAGCCTGAAAGAGCTCCAACAGAAGTCAGCATATCACTGCTACCATCTTCCTTGTTTTATTTTTGTCAGTTCAGCAATTTAATTGTGAAATCTGCATTATTTCCCTTGAAAGCCTAATTGTGCTATAATGAGTGACTTCTCATTTTTATTTCTTTTAAGTTAAATTTTGGCTTTCATGGGTGCAGAAAACCGTATCAGAAGGGCATTAAAAGAATTGTAAAGGGGTTAAAACCAGTCTATAGTTTATTCTTTGAGGAATGTCAGGCTTTAAAATCCATTCTAGATTTATGTTTCTATTTAAAATGCTTGGTTTCTGATTAGCTTGACTAGGCATGACTGTGTAGCAATATTTTCACATTGCCAGTGGGTGGTGGGGGAGGCATTGCTACCCTCAAGTTTATATATTTTGTTTATTTCATAACATTTCAGTCCTGCTTTTCTCCCAACTCACTGACCCATCTCTCCCTACAAATGGCAGGGAGAGATGCCATAAAATAGTAAAAATATGAAACATCATAATAGTAAAAGACTATTAAGAAAAAACTGTAAAAAAATGTAGACATATTTTTAGAAAGAGTTTTAAAGAAGACAGAAAAAATGCAGCCTCCTTTGTTAAAAACTCTTTTGGCAGGCTGATGAGTTGCCAGAAGTTTGACTGGAGAGAAAGGTTTAAGTCTGTGGATGGAAGGACAGAGGTGGGGAGGGCAAAACTAGGTTCCTGTGGTCTCTGAATTCCTCATTAAACATGCCTGTGAAGGTAATGGGACAGAGAGAAGGGCCTTCCCCAGAAAATCTAAAACCAGAGGGAGCTTACATGGGAAGAAGCAGTTCTTCAAATGTATGTGAATCAGTGTTTATACACAGTTTTACCACCCTGATGTGGATTCTGGGTTGAAACAATTTTTCAGATTTACAGCTTCATGCTGAGCCTGTGAGAATTTAGTTCCTCTTCATGTTGTTGTTGATTAGTCATTAAGTTGTGTCTGACGCTTCGTGACCCCATGGACCAGAGCATGCCAGGCCCTCCTGTCTTCCACTGCCTCCCGGAGTTGTGTAAAATTCATTCTGGTAGCTTTGATGACACTGTCCAACCATCTCATCCTCTGTCGTCCCCTTCTCCTTTTGCCTTCACACTTTCCCAACATCAGGGTGTTTTCCAGGGAATCTTCTCTTCTCATGAGATGGCCAAAGTATTGGAGCCTCAGCTTCAGGATCTGTCCTTCCAGTGAGCACTCAGGCTTGATTTCCTTCAGAATGAATAGGTTTGATCTCCTTGCAGTCCAGGGGACTCTTGAGAGTCTCCTCCACTTCCTCTTCATAGCAGGAGACAAAAGCTGATTGTACAGGTGTGTGTGGCTCCTGCAAGACCTTGCTGACCAGCACCTGTGACTTCATTCATGGAATATGTACAGTATGTGTTGCATACATGCCCAAACTTTTAATTAATTCATTTCATTTTGTTTCATTTCATTTGTACCCAGCTTTTCCCACAGGTCCATGAACAGTTCTGCAGTTATTTTAACTGAAGGACAAATCTATGCACTCATGATATGGCTCATCAGACAGACAGACAGACAGATAGACAGACAGACAGACAGAGAAAGAAAGAAAGAAAGAAAGAAAGAAAGAAAGAAAGAAAGAAAGAAAGAAAGAAAGAAAGAAAGAAAGAAAGAAAGAAAGAAAGAAAGAAAGAAAGACATATGGCAGGGAATAGCTAGGTTTACAAACTAGGCAAAAGTTGTTTGGGGTGAGAGAGGGAAACTCAAAAAATAGAACTAGTTCCTTTTTAGGGTAGGGGAAGAATCTGCATCTGTCTTTTTGAAAACAGCCAAGATGCTTCTTACATGATGGAAAAACTGTTATCATCTTGAAAGCTTTAGGGCAATACTTTTGTGTTAGGATTTAGTTTAAGACACAGAAGCCAGCCAAAGGGGGGAAAATGGCAACCTTAGTATTGATACAGATGCGGACAGCCAGTGAGTTCAATCTTAATTCAGAGGTACTGATGGAGGTGCAGACATACGCAGTGTGATCTTAATTCAAAGATGCACTCGCTTTAGAGGGTTAGGTATAGGCAGAAACCCTTTCTGCTGGTAGAAACTCCCCCTGTGTTAGCAGACTCTCGTTTTGGCAAAAATCTGAACTTAAAATCTGCCCATAGAAGAACCCAAAAGAGATGGAGCAGGGGAGGAGCTCAGCTGATTTAGGCCACATTGATGCCTCCTTCCATTCAGGCACAAAGTGAGGCCAGAGCGAAGATAGTCTGAAGCAGTTCCTAAAATACCCTGGGAGGAGGTGTCGATTGGTGTCACCTCAGCCATCTTGGCTAGTTAGGACTGTGCTCCTATTCTTATAGACATACTGTAGAGGTCTCTGTCATCGTGGCTGGAAGAGAGTAAAGCTGTTCCTTTCCTAGTCTCTGTTTCTTCATACAACCATGCAGTTGGCATTTTAAAGTATTGGAGGCCTAGTTCAAGTCATAGAATGATAGTGATGCATCTCCTCGTTCATTCCTTTCAGCACCAGTTGGTCAGGCAACACAAGAATGGTTTCAAAGTGGGGATGAAGCTGGAAGGAATTGATCCCCAACATCCTTCGATGTACTTCATTCTCACAGTGGCCGAGGTGAGATGAGGTTATACTTTTGAATTCTGTTTTAGTTCAACAGTCAAAGACGAAATTCCCTTTCAAGTATTTTATCCTGTTTCATGAATTTATTTATTCAGAGATATCTGTAACACCAATTTTCAGAGCTCTTTATAACATTGTTGCAGATAAAAAAAGGAACACTACAATAAAAGGGGGAAATGCCTATCATTATAGAATGTTTTTAGGCTCCTACAACTTCCAGTCAAAAGGCATTCTGCATCTGTTCTTCTGCTTCCCCTCCCCCACTTACTTTGATTTTTTTTGTGGTTAAAAAAAGATATTGAGTAAGCAATGGGAACCACAGGAGGGTTCTGGAAACCAAATTTGTCTTCACCGCCTGCATTCTGTAAATGAGGAAGGATAGTTGCAAAATAAAGCCATTGGATCAAATTACCTGTAAAACAACAGAAAATGCAGTGAAAAATAGCATGGACAGTAAGTTCTAAGCATCCACAATATATGTCTTTTTATATAGGTCCTTTTTTTCTTGCCTACTCAGATATCATGTCAAGAAGCAACACAACACAAAATCCAGTTTATGCAGATTTATTCCCAAGTAAGATTACCAAGGAAAAATCATGGGCAGAGATTCTGAGAGTAATGAAAATTCAGTTCTCTATATCAATATGCTATCCATGCAAAAGTAACAAGAAAATAGAGAAATGCAATTTATGCCATGCAAGCTCAGTGGTTTAGCTATTTGGCTGAGGAGATAGAGGTCGGGAGTTCGATTCCCCACTGTGCCTCCTTGACAGGGGCTGGACTTGATGATCCTTAGAGCCCTTCCAGGTCTACCATTCTAAGATCTTGATATTACAGTATTTATTTATTTATTTCAGTTTTGTTCTGAGAGAACTGGAGCTGTCTCTGCTTGCTTCCTAATTTTTCTGACACTTGGCACAAAATATGCTTTTTATTTGGTTTTCACTGATGTTGTGGAGCCTTTCAGATTGAGAGAAAGAGAAACAAAGGGAATATTCTTTGTACGTGTGTGCACTAAGTACAGTATGCTTACTATTCAATGGCAGCAGTGCTGAGTGCAGAAAGCATGAGCCAATGTTGATTTGGAGGGAAGGAAAGTATAACAAGTAACTTGTCAATCAATGAAGTTGTGGCAGAAGGAGGTTGGGGAATGGCAGGATGCTGCCATTTCTGCGCCCAGAATCCCACTGCTCCTTTCTGTTGCCAGATAGGCCCAAAACAAGTCCATGGCCTTCACATGGCTGTGGAAGTTATGAGCTCTCAGATAGAAGCTAAGTTTGAGCCAACTGGCTGCGAAATCTTTTGCAATATGAAAAGTGTTGTCTGTGAATTTAGGACAGAAAGTACAATGACTCAAGTTAGAACTCAAATGTAAATTGCAGCCTCTGTAGGTTTTACATTCAGAATTCAGACGGAGATGTGTACCTGCTATGAATTTATCGCCACTAGTTTGCACATGCTTCTTATGTTGTCAGAAATGGTAACAGCTTGGGCCCAGCCTGTCAGACTTTGACAAATCTGCCTCTAGGTGACCAGAAATGGAAATATCTAATTGATTAGAACAACTGTTAAGGAAGTTTTGTAGGACAGACATTTATTCATTGGGATGGAATGCTTCTTTCTACTTCTTTCCTTGCATGCAGGTATGTGGTTACAGGATGCGCCTTCATTTTGACGGATACTCTGAATGCCATGATTTCTGGCTGAATGCAGACTCCCCCAACATACATCCTGCTGGCTGGTTTGAGAAAACAGGACACAAACTCCAGCCTCCCAAAGGTAGGTTGGCTGGGGCATTTGAAGGCATTGATCAAGGGGGTAGTAAGAGACAAAGCAGTACTGTACTTTGTTGGAATGGAGATAGACGAAAAGAGTGCAGAAGCTGGTGGCATGAAGATACCTGAATTAACATCCTGTTTAATAACAAAAGTGTTGCATGTCCTGTACACAACAATCCAAAGACAGTAATCTCACCAGCTTTTGAAGCCATTTAGTGCAGTGGTCCCCATCTTGTCGCTCACTGGTCACTCACTGGTGGTCTGCGAGGGACCTGCAGGCCAACTGTGGGGGATACATTCATAGATCAATGGGTTGCTGATCTGCAAAACAGAATGAAATAGATGAACTCACCAGGGGGAAGAGAAAGGGGGAATGTTGGACCCTTTCATTTCCTGAAATACATTGGATCTCAATTGTCAAATACAACCTATGTAATGGAATGCCCACCAGTAGTACTGGGCACAACAGAATTCACTAAGTGTTCTTTTTTTACAGACAAGTTTGATTCCTATCAGTCACTGACTGTTAAAAATGGTTAAAATGACTTGCTTATATGGTATCTGGATTTCCAATAATATTTCACTCTTATCTCTCCTTTATTTCAGGCTGTTTAGGTTACAAGGAAGATGAGTTTAACTGGGCCAGCTATCTGCGGATAACCAAAGCCCAAGCAGCTCCCAAGCATCTGTTTGTAACCCCAGCTAGTGTGAGTGCCTGGCAAGACAATCAGATGTTATGAAGGAGTTTTGCCTTTGTGAGTGTGCGGAGAAAGGCGAGGCCATGCAAATAGCTGCCTGTAGCGAATGGCCCTGCCCTCACCTGTCCGTCACAGCAGAACAGCGAAGAAGGAGCCAATGGGGGGACGGAAGGTGGAGCCAAGGGGGGAGGGGGCTGGATATAAAGGTTGGTGTATGGAGTCTGAGGGAGTTTCTGGTATTGAGAGACAGTGTGAAACTTAAAAGTGTACTAAGAGTGAGTTAGAGATCTGTAAGAACGCTGAATGGAACAGAGAGTTAATAGAGTTTTAAGTTGAAGTAGAATTGATTTAAATATAAGTGATTAGCAACCTGTGGTTTACCTATTGAATATTAAACAGATGTTATCTTCCCTGATCTAATAAATGACTTAAGTTTTAAAAGCACACATGTCTCCATGATTAAATGGTATTAAGGCAGTAATACCTGGTGGCAGCAAAGAAAGAAGAAGGGCGAGAACCCCGTGAAGACCTGAGGGGATAGGGGCTTCAGAGGAAATCTCCACACTGCCTTTTTTGAAGGTCTTACGAAATCAGTAACATCTTCCCAATGGCAAATGGGAGAATGAGGAACCCGAGGTGCCTGGTGCTCATGTATCAACTGACATGAGGAAGACTGTCAGATGAGTTGCAGAAGAGTTCCCATCAGAAATCTTAAAGTTTTGATTTGAAGTTACTTGCATCAAATAACTAACGTTATTATGCCCTGCCTGTGACTTCCTCCGGGATACACATGCATGGCACAAGAGAGGATGGCATTCAAAATCTGTGTTTGTGGTCCTCTTGGTTGTGCATGAAGGGCTTTTAGTGGGATAGAAAAGGTTAAGCTTGCTGTCAGGAAATATACAAGAAGGTTTGGTTTCTTACAACAGGATTACATGATCATATAAGATTGCCCACACACATCCGTCAAGCCAGGAACTATTTTCACATGATGCCTTTCAATAATGTGAGGCAGTATATGTGAATGAGGCAATCTGACATGCATATCCATTTGAAAGGATTTCTCCCACTTCCATTCTAGTTACCTGTTGGTTTTTGGGATGGGGCGAGGAGGGAAGTAAATGGATAATCAGCCCTGGCCACATGTTTGCACTGCTCACATGTGAACCCTATATCGTTCGACTGGATCTGAGAATAGGGCTTGATTCTTTCTTTTTTTTCCCCTCTTTCTTCAGAATGCTGCACCAACTGGTTTCCAGGTGGGCATGAAACTTGAAGCGGTGGACCGCATGAACCCTTCTTTGATATGTGTTGCCACAGTGACAGATGTGGTGGACAATCGCTTTTTGGTGCACTTTGACAACTGGGATGACACTTATGACTATTGGTATGTGGAAGATTAGAACAAAGGAATGACTTTGCTTAAATCTTGTGTAGATCTTGATGTTACATGTATAAGGGGGGAAACTAGACATTTCAATGGAAGTTAACATGTTGGTAAGACTCCACAGGTATCATGAAAGTTGGGGTTCCTTGTCTCTCATTGGATCAAACTCCAAATCCTATCAAGACTCAACTCTCTGAGCAGCACTTTTTCCTATTAGCAGTGTCTTGATCACAGGACTTCAGCTGTGTGTTGTTGAAATGGACCGATGAATCTGCAAGGTTACTATTTTCCAGGACTTCTACTGCTTTTTTTTCCTTATTCAGTTTTTAATTAGACCATGTCACATTTTAAAATGTGTTCTATGTTTCACACTTCATAAATCCAATGAGAAACAGTTGGGGCAGCTGGGACTTCTGTACAACACATGATTTATCTTGTTGTGTCTGATGTATGGGTTTCTGATGATCAAGTTCATGAAAATGTTTCTCCAGTGTGACAAATGCTTTAAGAAGACATAGGCTAATTTAGCTACCTAATGGTCAGGAGGTTCTAATAATATATATATTAATAATATTCTGGTGACCCTCCCACGGTTTTCTCGGTATAGACTACAGAGTATTCAGAAGTGCTTTACCAGCTCCTCCTGATGGTGTTGTAGGTCAAAGACAATCTTTCCGTGGTCACATGGCCAGTGTGATTTAGACACGGAACTCTGTTTACCTTCCCACCGAGATGGTACCTATTTATCTACTCGCATTTGCATGCTTTCGAACCGCTAGGTTGGCAGGAGCTGGGACAAGCAACGGGCGCTCACTCCGTCGCGTGGATTCGATCTTACGACTGCTTGGTCTTCTGACCCTGCAGCACAGGCTTCTGCGGTTTAGCCCACAGCGCCACCACGTCCCCTCTAATAATATATGTATTAATAATATTCTGGTGATCCTCCCACGGTTTTCTCGGTATAGACTATAGAGTATTCAGAAGTGCTTTATCAGCTCCTCCTGATGGTGTTGTAGGCCCCTCTCCCAGTGAGCACAATGAGGATTTGAGCTCCAATTGCCAGGTGTGGCTAGAAGCTCCAACCTACTGAGCTATACCCATTGAAGTAGATGTGGCAGGATAGAAAGAACACAACATAATCTAAAAGAATGCCAGTATCTTTAAATAGCAACATCACAATGACCATAAACATCAAGACTTTAAAGGGAATTTTTTCCCAAATGAAGCAAACTGAAAATATATATCTTGAGAAACTAAATTTAAATCTGCAAGAAGAAGAAGAAGAAAAATTGAAAGGATAATTTGCTGAAGATTTTTTTAAGAGAAGAAGAAGAAGAAGAAGAAGAAGACAAATTGAAAGGATAATTTGCTGAAGATGTTTTTTGAAAAAAGAATAATCCAAATTTGGTTTAAATACATTGCAAGCTAGAAACCAACCAGAGAGGCAGTAGGAGCATTAGATGACAAATGTGTCAAAATAAAGCTGAAGGAAGACAGATATCAGAAAGAAACAGAATTAATTATTTGCATCAGCATGTAATAACTGAATAAAAGAGAGGAAGCAGAGGATGGGAATAAATTGAAAATTAATGGAGTGAAGTAAGCAGCATTATTCCCCCAGGATGTAAATTAGCACTCGTGCCATTTAAATAATTCTCATATTCTTTAGAAGTTTGGGTAAATGATAAAATAATCAGGTTTGGCATAACCTGTTTTTAATCAGACTTGCTCTGTAGTGGGGCAAAGATGGAACAGTGGCATATTATTTTCCAGTGAGATGTGACTGAATATAATGTCAACAAACACATAAATAAATTATGTTTGCGAGTGTGTAAAGAGAAAAATGCACTGGAGAAGTAGGAAGAAAGATACTTTAGCGACAGCCAGAAACCAATATGGAGATCAGTGACATGGGGGTCCCCTAGAAACAGGACTGGAATTCTTCCTGTTGCTGTAGAAGGTATCATAGGGAAATATATGCAGTTGGTGCAGCTATTTCCCACAACACAGGGGGGCACAAAAAGGGGTGGGGCTCTTCGGCTAGATACTGGTAAGCCCTAATGAGGGTAAATTAACTGCTTACTCTAGAAACTGGAACTCTTACAGCTCCATTGATTCCCTATTTCCCAACAGGATAGTTATGTGAAAAATATTTAATAAATTCCTCATCCTTATTGACTTAAGGTTTATTGATTTGATGAGACATCTTGATGAGGAATTTGAAAGCCTTGTGAGATTCCAGACAAGAGCAAGACAAAGACCTTTTCTCCTACTTCCGTTCTCTGTATTTTGCCCAAAATATATCTGTGCAAAACTAGTGTCCTTTCTGTTTGAAAAGACAGTAGTGTGTTCCGTGAACACATACAGCAAGTGCATAAAGAAAGACTGGTAAAAAAAAAACAACCCAAGCAATGCTTCTGATTCTTAAATATCCATCAACAAAGCAGTAGTCCTAGCTTTATGTATGCTGTGCACAGGTTGTGAAAAAAAAGAGAGCAATTTTCACAAACATTGTTCCCCATTGCAAGGACAGTATTGGGTAGCATGTGCAAATTCCTCATCATCTCCTTGGAGGGAATAATTCCTCATGAGTTCCTCAAGGAGTTCCTCATCCTTACTTGTGAGCCTGAGACAAACAAAATTTTCTCTTCAACAAGATACCATCAAAAACTGATCTTGTGGTCACTGCTCAAACAGGGCATTAGATGGACTTTTGGTCTAATGATTACTGCCTTTTTGAGGTTGTGGTACGTTCATCTTATTTGTACTGCAGGTGTGATCCCAGCAGTCCTTATATTCACCCAGTCGGTTGGTGTCAGGAGCATGGAAAACCCCTCACTCCTCCACAAGGTGAATATACAATTTTTTTTCCCACTCTGTTTCTCCATAGCTGCTTCTGCATACAAGAAATGTTCATTGGGCCACATAGCTTGGCCCCTTATCCATCACAGAAAATGGTGATCTCTTAAAAATGCATAGTGGCATTCACATGTTAAAAATACATACACTGTTGGCTGCAGGCATAATGATCTTCATGCCAGAAAAAGGAACAGGAAGTGGTTGGAGTTTTCCTCTGTTGCACTTCAGGATTTGCTGTGAGAAAGTCAGAAGTCCAGCCCCAGTGGCTGAATTTTTAATTCATGATTAATTTTTGCTTGCTTGGTTTTTTTAAAAAAAAATAACAGTGGCCAAGGAAAAAATCACAAAGGTGTTTGAGGGCAAACAGCCTCAAGAAGTTAGGGTAGACATTATCTGTTGAATATGGCGTCACACAACTTGGTATACAACAGATAACATCTAGGGTGACTTCTTAAGGTAATTTGCTTTCATAATTCATGGAGTTTGTGTTATGCCAGTGGAATTAGGCAAGGGCTTTGGGCCTATATATACTGCTGTTCATTGTTCTGAAACTTCAATGCAGTATATAACCAATGATTTCGCAGTACTGTACAAATTACAATAATAAAACAAGAGATGAAATATGCATCAGTTTTTAAATTTATTACAAATCTCTCTCCTTGATGCCAGAAGGATTGTCACATCGCTGCCTCTTCAGCAGCAACATTTGCGCAACCAGGGCATTGCTGTGTGAAAGCAACACTCTCGGAGAGGAGGCAATTTTCAGTTTCTTTAGAGATAGAGTGGTATTTCCATACATTAAGTCCTTTCACATTTATTTATTTAAAATATTTTTAACCTACCATTCTTCTTAAAAAGAACCCAAGGTGGCTTGCAACAATTAAAATACAGTGTTTAGGTTAGCAGCATTCAGTATACAACACTAAAAGCATCAATGAATATAATACCAACAAACATAAGCAACACCACATTCAATGCAGTAAGATACAACAGTCCATTCCAAAAAATCCCAATCTGCAGCCGTTCACTCAGGAAAAGCTTACTTGGAGAGAAAGGTCTTTACTTGCTTGAGGATGGACAACAAAGATGGGGGCAGCCTGGCCTCCTGTGGGAGAGAATTCCAGAGTCTGGGAGCAGCCACAGAGAAGACCTTCTCCTGTGAGGTGAAAAAGTATTTTTATGTACATGGAAAATCAACCCCACAGTGGTGATTTTGGATTAGCCAGTGATTTATAATCTGCTATGAAACATCTTGCATTCTGGATGCATGCAAAGACTCATGGACTTCGACTGATCTATATTGTCCAGACTCATTGCAGACCAGAGGCACTTCCTGTTGCCAAGCCACACATTATTGGATGGCTGTGGGCATGTCCAGTAAAATACACGTATTTCAAATGTGCAGCTAGAAAAAATTGGAAATTTAAAATTTGCATTAGACCATGTTGCAAGCATGCTTTAGTTTATGGGGGAAAGGGGGTGCAGGGAGTGCATATAGGTTGAAATGTGAAAACAATAAGCAAGAAAAAAGGCAGGGGAAAGAAATTAGACATGGGCATGAACCTCTGTTTGGAGATTCATGCTGGTCCAGTGCTACGCCCTTACAGGTGTTATGCGGGCACCATAAGCTGCTCAGAGACCTTTGGGTAGTGTGGGCGGCATATAAGTTAAATAAATAAATAAATAAATAAATAAATAAATAAATAAATAAATAAATAAATATGCTTCCCCCTCCCACTTCTTCTGAGCACTCGCTCATTCACACCTCCCTAGAGGTGCCCACAACTGCCTTGTCTCCTTTGCACTCACTATTTGCAGTCATGTTTCCCTCCTCCAGGAGTTGCCCACTCCAAGGCAGTGCTTCAGGAATGCCTGCACCACCTTGTTTGAGTGGGTAGCTGCTGGAGGAGGCAGAGGAGTAAAGCATGGTTGTGAACAATGAGTGGGCAGTTGCACAGAGGAGGCAGCGAGGGAAGCGTACATTGCTCAGGGAATGGGCAGAGGAGGCAGGAGGGGGAAGTATGTGGCATCCACACAACACCTGTGCAGGCACAGTACTGAACCGGCATGAATCTCCAAACTGAGATTCCTGCCCATCTTTAAAGAAGACATAAATCAGGTGTAGAAGGAGAAAGAAGCCTGGAGATGTGACTTGGTAGACCTGCACATCCCTAGTTGAGAACTTTATTGCAGCTGGTAAATGATTCAGAGGCCTCTCTAGCAAAAGCTTGTTATCTGGCAGACTTTTTTATTTCCAGACTACCCTGATCCTGAAAATTTCAGCTGGGAAAAATACTTAGCAGAAACAGGTGCTTCTGCAGTGCCAGCTTGGGCCTTTAAAGTGGTAAGTAGTCTATATCTTTCTCATGTCTCTATCAAAGATTGGAAAAGTGACCCATTGGCCCATAGCTCTGAGAATCTCCTGGCCAGCATGGTCAATGGCTCCACGATCTGGTCTCTAGTATATATGAGCAAATGTTGTTGTGAATGGTATTTGGAGGTGGGCATGGCAAGAAGAGGGAAGTCTGGCCTCCATGCCTGTCCAAGTAAGTGCTGAGTTGAGCAGTCCCCTTTTAAAAATCTATTTTCAAGTTTTAGTAGTTTGGCCATGCTGGCTGTGATTTTCTGAAATTTATAATCCAAAAAACAAATGTTTCCCATCTGTGACTTTAGCAGTATACAAACATTTGTATTATTTCTGGGAATTTGGAGAAGTGATGAACTAGATCACCAAGTGAAAAAAAATATGGACCAGCAAGTCAAATAACAAACAAGCTGGAGAGTCCTACTGCAACTATTTGTTAAGATAGAAAAGAAAGAGACTGGGTGGGAGAAATGTGATTGTTTGTAGGCTCTGGTTTCACCCATTCTGTACCTTCCATCCCAGAGGCAACCCCATGGCTTCTTGATCAACATGAGGTTGGAGGCAGTAGACCGAAGAACGCCTGCCCTGATCCGAGCAGCCACTGTCGAAGACGTAGAAGACTACAGGATAAAGGTAGATTTCTTCCCCTGCTTAGGGCTTATGCCTTATTGGTGAATCATTCTCTCTCTGTTTTCTTGCTTTTCTACGAGTGGTGTTGTTGTATAATAAGAAATGTTTACACAATATGGATTATCTTTTTCAGAACATAGAATAACCTCTCTTTCTATAGCAACCGTTGTGTTTGTTGGAGCAACAGATACTGAACAGGCAGGCCAACCTAAAGGCCCATTTATGCTCAGCAATGCTGGGCTTGTTCTTGTAGACGTAGTTCCATCAGTTACTTCCACCGAATATAATTCTGTTGCCAGTTTCGATCACAGATTCAGTAGCTGAGTGCACTACATCTGTGGAATGAAGACACAAGTAAAGATACAGCGACACGCATAACAATGTCAAACCACATCCGGTCCGATACACAATGCCTGCTGCATGCAGTTTTCATTCCTCTCTCTTTTGAAGCTGCACATCTAAGAGATTGATCTGGTCCACTTTTGAGCTGCCGTGTCTTGGATTTATAGCAAAAAGTAGATCTCCACGTTCCCCTATTTTGAGGGAACTTGGTGACTTGGACTTATTTTTAACATTATTGGACACATTGCAGCTTTGATGTTTACTGCGGGACTTCAGAAACGCAATGTTGAATGTTTAACTTGCAGTGGGAAATGGGGGGGTTCCCATCTTTGTGTGACAATGTTTAACTTGCAGTGGGAAATGGGGGGGGGGGTTCCTATCTTTGTGTGACGTATGAAACATGTGACCTTTACATGTTTTTGTGTTGCAGTATACAGTATATTGCTTACTTAGTTTATGAGACCTTTACATGTTTTTGTGTTGCAGTATATATTGCTTACTTAGTTTATGGCACAACAAATTCTTTATTATCCAACCTGTTGATTCATGCCCATAGATTCATTTTGATGGCTGGAGCCATGTATGTGATTTCTGGATTGACTCGGATCACCCCGACATTCACCCTGTGGGATGGTGCTCCAAAACTGGACATCCATTGCAGCCTCCTCTCAGTGAGTACAAATACTAGGCACAAGTCCTTGCTGCAGCCTGATTGCATAGATGTGGTGATAGAAACAGAAGTTGTACGCCCAGTCACCAGGTGAAGTGGAACAGCCATCTTTTTTTCTCTCTAGTGCTTAATGCTTGCAATATTCCTCTGAAGGTTCTGAATGTAAAGAGAAGTCTACCATAACCCTGTTCAGGCATTACTAAACCTGCAGTAACTCTTATTGGGTATGAGTTGGGTGAGCCCCAGGACTGAAGCAGAAACTCTTTTAACTGAACTGCTAACAATCTCACACTGCTGGATTGTGTACTGGCAGTAGGAGAATGCTGGTAATTAAGAGTTCCTGCTTAGATCTTGGAGTTTGCCAACCTGTGTGCAATGAGACTGATTGCAGGTGAGTTGTGAGAATCCTGAGACTGAAGGGTTAACTCTTTAATTACTGGCAATCTTCTACTGCTGGTGACATCATCATCCTTATGCAAGTGTAATTTATGGAACAGGATTTTGGCTTCATATAAAACTTGAAAACTAGATTATGCCGCAGGAAGTTAGCTTGTCCATGAAAGTTCACGTTAAAATACCACAGTTAGTCTTTAAAGTCCTGCCATGTTTTTGTCTTTTTTTAAAAAAAAATTATTTTGTTTTCTACTTAAAAATTAGAGTTCAGGAAACATGTTCTCTAATAAATCAAGTTTTGAACTAGATTTCCTTTGGTGGGCAATGCTTTCTCATATTAGTACCTGAAAATGAGTCCTTGGAGCTGATGTCTTATGTCTGAGTTTCACATATATAGCTTCCCATTTATTTTATTTCTATGCTGCCTCTCTCTCAATTATGGGACCAAGGTAGTTCACAAATTGTTTTAGAAAAACACAAACCAGTTAAAATGTGGTAAATTAGAACATTCACCCAAAATCATTAACATTAAGCACATCCCTATAGTTCTGCAAAGTTTATTATGCAGAATCTATAGAAATCCTGAGCATAGAAGATCACTAAGGACCTTTCTAAATATTTGGGGAGGGGGAAACACCACCAACTTTGATCTTTCTCATAATACTATTTTTTTCCTTCCACTTTACTGCTGGTGATGTGAAATCTCATGATCATAATTAGAGAAGGGCACAAACCAGCAAAACAATTGTTCATTGTGGTTCATGGGTTCATGGTTCACTGAAGTCCATGAACCACGAACTTTCTGAACTTTTAGGAAAAAATGAACCATGAATTAGTTAATTTTGGTTTTGAAATCAAGGAGCCCTAGAACGGCCCCCCGCCAGCCACCTAGAGACATGAAAATTGTGGAGAAGCTTCCTCCAATTTTCTACAACCCCTCCAAATTTCATGGATTTTGGATATCTGAGTTATACACCCTCAAAGCAAGCCCCACCAGGAAAATGACCCTCAGCAGTTGGCTTGGGAGAAATTTCAGCAGTGGTTCATGCCAGGGAACCTGACATCGGAAGGTCGAATGAGGAGGGACAATAGCAGTGGTTCATGCCAGGGAACCTGACATCAGAAGAATGAGGAGGGACAATGCCCTTTCCCCAAACCCCATGGACAATGCCATGCTGGAGTTCTGAGTTGAGCTACAGAGGTTCTTGTGTGGTCAACAGAGGGGTAGAGAGAGAGAAGCTGTCGGACAAGGGAAGCAATGTGCCAGTAGAGATCTGAGCCAACCTAGTTCTGAGGTAGAAGGGTTCCTCTGACTATCAGAAGTGGCTCTGAGGTGGAAATGGTTCCTGTGAAATTCCTCTGACTATCAGAAGTGGCTCTGAGGAGGAAATGGTTCCTGTGAATCAGTCTTATAAATAAGAACAAGCAACTCCCCCAGAGCCTTTTGAGCCACACATTTGGCTGCCTGACCTGCCAATCCAGTAGTCTCTAGGTCCCTCCCAGGGTTGCTTAGTGCCTCTGATCGATGGGAGCAGGCTGTTGGGGTGAGGGGTGGGGAGAAAATGGGCAAATGAACCAAAACTCGCTTTAAAAGTTAGTTGGTTCAATTCAGTTTGTTTTATCGCTTTTGACAAACCTGAACCTACCCGAACCAACAAACTAGCGATTTTCAACAAACTTCCTGGTTCATATTTTGGTTTGTACCCATCTCTAATCATAATCCTGTGATGGATGAGTGAATGTAGAAGTCAATGGAAAAAAATACTGCAATTCAGTTTTTTTTTTTAAAAGCCACAGCATTGATAATGGCTCCATGCATCTAGGAAGTATCAGTATGGAGGATTGAACCAGAAACTGCATTATGGCTGCTGAGAAATCCTAATTCAATTTATATTTCCTGTTGTGTACAGAGCCAAAGGAACCTGTGTCTACTACGAATGGAACCTGCCCAACCTTGGCCTGTAAGACTCTCGCCAACACCAAGACCTCCAAATACAGCTTTCACAGGTGGGCCCTTAACTGAAGAAGCAAGGGGAGTGCCTTGGAGACTCTAGTGCTGTAAATTGTATCCACTAATATTACTTACTACGAGCAGAAGCTGGGAAGCAACTACTGCATTGTCCATACAAGTTGCTTAGAATACATTCTATCAAGTCAAGTTACTATCCTAGACTTCCAAAATTCATGTGTCGCCACATCAGTGAGCCACAGACCAAGTATGAAAGCTCACTGTAGGCTGATGGACTTGGTGCTATTTTTTGTTGTTTCAGACTAGAGGAACAGGTGGGCCTGTCAAGTACAGTGATGCCTGTCCAAAAACACAGCGGGGAGCCATTTAGAGCACCCGGTGGCCATTTTGAAAACCCGACAATCAGCTGTTTTGATTGTCATAATGCAAAGAATCGGTTCCCAAAGCAGGAAACCGATCTTTGCAAAGCAAAAAAAAACCACATTTAAAACATCGTTTTGTAATAGCAATTGCGATCGCAAAAACATCGTCATGAAGCAGATTCGTCGTTATACAGGGTAATCATTATGCGGGGCACGACTGTACAGGGTGCTGTTCCTGGCTGTTAGGCTATGTTTGGTGTGATGAATCAGAAGGAAAATTGAGCAGAACTGGATTATATTGTTAATTGTGATGGCAATCTGCCACCCATACAGAAAACAAGGGTCTTTTCTGATCTCTTATCTCCAGAAAGTGCCCAACACCTGGTTGCGATGGATCAGGACATGTGACAGGGAGATTTACAGCTCATTACTGCATCTCAGGGTGTCCCCTTGCAGAGAAGAACCAGGGGAGAGTGAAAGCTGATCTCTCAGACACTGAAAACTCCGTTCGAAAGAGGAACCTTATAGGCTTCTCTCAGAGAAAAAAGTCTCGACACCACGGAAGGTAAGGAGATAGCTGCTGCTACTGCTGCTAATACATCTGGTGCAAGGTCATAATAAATAAATAAGCAGGCAATATTAGTGCTTCTCTCTCTATAGCATAAGTGCTGATGTAGATAAATGGATGGTAAGTAGTCCTACAACTAAGTGCTGATGTAGATAAATGGATGGTAATTCCTACAATGTGCCCACAAGAAAACAGGAGAAGCAGTTAAAAATGAAATAACTAACCCCCCCTTTTTTTTTTGGAGGAAGTAACACTCCAGATAGAAAACCCTAAATTCTAAACCTAACTAGGTAGGCATGTGTTCCAGGGAACTCACAGCAGAGGAGAAAGAGCATGTCTGCTCCTTCGAAAGGTGAGAACGAGTTGAAGGTCAGAAGGAGAATAGAGACTCATAGGTTTCCTTGAGAAATATCAGTCTAACAATACATACAGAAAGGAAGTAGAAGAGAGTTAAAAGTGACAGACAAGCCTTTCTTGACTTTCTTTCTTACACCCAAATCATGCATTTGGTTATTTGGGTTGGATAAGAGCTAAGTGGCAATGGTTGAAGAACTCCAGGCCAACATAATGTTCCTGATGTCCATTCTCGCTGTATTTTTCTTTCAAATGTTTGCACTCTTTCTAATTGAAGTAGAAGAGAGTTAAAAGTGGCAGGCAAGCCTTTCTTGACTTTCTTTCCTACACCCAAATCATGCATTTAGTTATTTGGGTTGGATAAGAGCTAAGTAGCAATGGATGAAGGACTCCAGGCCAACATAATGTTCCTGATGTCCATTATCACTGTATTTTTTTCCTCATATGTTTGCACTCTTTCTCATTTATTCTCCTCACTGCCTCCCCACTAGCCTCGCTTAGTGATGTTAATTCGTTCCGAAAAAATCGCTGCTAAGTGATTTCATCGCTAAGCGAAACGCGGTTTCTCATTGAAATCCATTGAAAACTGGATAATCCGTTCCAATAGGAATGAATTGCCGTCCTTAAGCGAAAATCACCATAGGAAACATTGCTAAGCAAAACACGGTTCCTCAATTGAAATGCATTGAAACCTATTCAATGCATCTCAATGGGGGGGAAATACAACAACAAATTAAAAAAGAGTCAGAACAAAGTCAAATTTGGTTAACTAAGGGTTTATTAAGTGCACTTTATGATTTCAAACATTTTAAACAGTAAACTTTAACTTTATAAATAACAGAAAAACATTTAAAGAACAGCAAACATGAGGCTGTTTAAACCATCGTTAAGCGAAACAGGGGACCCAAAACTTAATCGCTATGCGAAGCATGGTCCCAACCATCACTAAGCAAAAATCACCCATAGGGACCATCGCTAAACGAAGCGCAAAAATGCTCCGAAAAAGTCGTCGCTAAGCGATTTCATCGCTAAACGGAGAGCCCATTAAGCGAGGCACCACTGTATTCTCCTCACTGCCTCCCCACTACTACATTTGACTGAGCATTAACTTTACAAAGTAGCTTGCTTCTGCCTACAAAAATCTGGAGGATGTGGACTTAATCCAACTTGGGCATTAGAAAGGCTAATGGAATACACTTCTGTGATAAAATCTTGAAGGTATAAACTATGGTCATTCTAAGCAGGTTTAGAATAGAAAACTGTAAGAGACTCCTGTATATAATTCCTTGTGCATCATGGAGGAAATGTGAGATATAAGTGGAATGGAATATAAGCAAAGAATAAATAAATAAGTGATCCTTATAGTTTTTTTTAAAAATCTTTCCACACTGGGTTTTTGAGGATTCCATATGTATACGAACTAAGGTTTAGTTTATGAGGTCTACTATAGTTCATCATTTTTCACTCACTGTACTGCCTCTTTTGAAGATAATGCTTGTTTTTGTTTCTCTAGAGGTCGGCCTCCAAAATACCGGAAAATCCAGCAGGAAGACTTCCAGAGTAAGTACCTTTTCTCTCTGGCTTTGTAAAGACCTCGTGCCAGAAAAGAAAAAAATTCAGGGAATCGCTGCCTTTTTTTCCTATGGGGAAAAAGAAAAGGAAAACATGAGGGTAAACTCCCCCATCCCCCAATTTTTTCCCTTCCCCCTGGGTGTTCACATCTCTAGTTTCAGACCAATGTGTGAGGGACACTTATCCAGTGTGGAACCTTGCATGTATTCTATTTAACCTTTTCTTTGTGATAGGATTTTGTCTATACATTATCTTTTCTTCTTTTCAATAGTCTCTTTTTTACTGAATACTTTAGCAAAGTTTAATTTCTTAAGAGATAAAATGCATCTGCCCATTGCTATAGTTGCCTTGTACATATAGCAGAGATTTCCCCAGTTAGTAAAAGGGTGAGACAAGCCTTTAAATTTGGGGTTTTTGTTTATTGAGTCTCCTGGACACAGAACGAAAATCCACATCCTGCAGCAGGAGTGTCCGTTCTCTGTGCAACTTATTTAAAGTCATTTGTCCATTAGTCCTTCATGCTGCATTTTCCTTTGTTCTATGCCAGTTCAGATGTATTGAAATGATGTGATTAGACGCCTTTGCTAAAACTAGAGAGTTGCTCACTTGTACAAATGGCTTCCTATACGGAAGCCAGTCCACACGGCATTGTACCCGCCCACCTGAAAAATGGGTGATGGGAGGTCTGAAATATGTCTAAATGGATTTATTTCCTGTACTAGTGCTCGTTGTTGATTAATGTGTGTGTCAAACCTACTGCAGATGCTGCAGACACTATAGAAATGAGGTGCACTTCTTCTAATGAGTAGTATAATGGTGATATTATTCATTCCACAAACATTGTATCTCAGACATTTTCCCAAGTGAGGATATCCAGTTCTGAAATTTCACCAGGAAAATCTTTAAAACATCTAAAACAAACACTAATACAAACCCCACAGCTGGATCAAAGAAGTATTTATTTATTTATTTATTTATTTATCCCGCCTATCTGGTTGGTTAAGACCACTCTAGGCGGCTAACGTAGAAACTTGGGGAGGACCGCAGCAACTGGGAGAACTGATGCCCA